CGCGATGTGCTCTAGGTTGACTTTATTAACATTTGCATATTTTCCAACATTTTTGTGGACAGAAGTTTACAGCATAAAGCCAAAATAAAAGCTTGGGTATTTGAAATGTTTAAAGCTCGAGAGTAAAATGACTGTTATAGTTATTGATTTTTTAATTAGTTTGGTAACCCCAGGACTAGTCAATTAGTGAGGTCAACCAGTTCATGTAGAATTTTCTTTTTTAAGAAACTGGTAGAACTGACTTTATTGTCCAGGTTTTTTTTTTCAGAGCCCTGTCTAAGGCGATGCTGACCTGGTGGGGAAGTCAGTGGCACTGAGGTTGATGAAGAAGTCCCATTTCCAGTCCAGCATGGACAGCAGGTCATGCATGCTGTGCAGGTAGGCCTTCAGCAGACTGGCCCCACCCCAGATGGTGACCATGCGCCAGTGTGTAGCTCTCACGTTGGGGTAGAGCTCCGTCATCTGCAGCACCTCTCGGTGCATGTAGTTTGAACGCTGCAAGGCACAATATAACAGTCTTCAATGATCACCAGTGGTCTTGAACATGAATATATCATGAAAGAAGTTTCATTTTTAGTCGGATGATTCCTTAAATATTTCAAGCATGTTACTGCAGTAGTGCAGTTCTAGCCGTCATAATGCTTCTGCTGCTGAAAGCGGGAAGATTTCTTGTCAGGAATTCAGTTTAGCTCTGAAAGACTTTACTTTTAAGAGGCTAAGACCTGAAATAGCTTCAAATGAAACACTAGAATCAGATGAGACAGGCATATAGAGAGGAAGAGACCGAGCAGATGTTGTGCCAAATCGTATCAGGGTGTGAGAGAAGTGCTCCTCCAGCAACAGGCCGGCAAACTTCAGCTCTACACACACATCTTTGTTCTCCAGCATGTGAGCTGACCGCCACTGAGCACCTCTAACACTTGAGTTCAAATCAAAACTCAGACAAACAGGGCTGTCTTTAAGGGGCGGAAAGAGTTCGGCATCCATTTATTATCAGTTCAATTCATTTGGGGTAAAAGTGGCTTTGTGAACTCCACTAGAGGCTGCATGATAAGGTGGGCTGGACTATGGTTGGCTTGAACTGGTGTGGTTTGCAGTTGGTATGAAACTAGTGCATCAAAATCCAAAATCTCGACCGTAACCAAATATTTTGGACCGACTGAGCCAACAGCTGAAACCAATGCTAATTTTGAAATTGCAATTGTGTGAAATACAAATTACACGGTTTAATTTTTATATGAATGTACACAACCTCTTTTTAAATTACACATATGTTAGTACTGAATATTGATTTTTAAAGAAATCTTGCTTTTTTATGAGTATGTATGAGTATGTGTGAATGCTAATATTTATTCTGTGCTTTTAAGTGTTTGAATTGGTCCACTGTGTCTGCATAAAAAGGAAAAGCAAATGTAAACTGAGTTTGCAGTTGTGTTTGAATTTTGACCTCAACATGCTTCCTGAATTCAGTGCGTCAAATGACGGTCAATATTTCAGTCAAGATTTTCTTTCGGCAGCTGAATTTTTGGTGCAGTCCTATATGAAACCCAACCATGAGGACACTAACCACTCTTTATGACACATAATAAGCATATTTTGACACCTCTTATAGTATAATCCATTTCTCATAGTTGTTCGTTTTGGAATTTATCTTCAGAAAGCAGCTCTCATTCTTCACAAAAAGTAATCAATCTGAAACCAGTGTTGGCATCGAAATGTTATTGTTTCACACAGAAGCCAATTCAAACCAAACAGCTTTCTGCTGGTCAACACAGCAAATCCACATGACCAACATAAAGGATTAGATAAAAAGATATTTTGAAAAATGTTGGCATCCGAACAGTTGATGGCCACCATTGACTTCCATAGTAGGGAAAAAAATCCTATGGAAGGCAATGGAGGCCATCAACTGTCTGGATATTTTTGGTGCAGTCCTATATGAAACCCAACCATGAGGACACTAACCACTCTTTATGACACATAATAAGCATATTTTGACACCTCTTATAGTATAATCCATTTCTCATAGTTGTTCGTTTTGGAATTTATCTTCAGAAAGCAGCTCTCATTCTTCACAAAAAGTAATCAATCTGAAACCAGTGTTGGCATCGAAATGTTATTGTTTCACACAGAAGCCAATTCAAACCAAACAGCTTTCTGCTGGTCAACACAGCAAATCCACATGACCAACATAAAGGATTAGATAAAAAGATATTTTGAAAAATGTTGGCATCCGAACAGTTGATGGCCACCATTGACTTCCATAGTAGGGGAAAAAATCCTATGGAAGGCAATGGAGGCCATCAACTGTCTGGATACCAACATTTTTCAAAATATCTTTTGTGTTCAACAGAAGGAAGAAACTCATACAGGTTTGGAACAAGTGGAGGGTGAGTAAATGATGACAATTTTCATTCTGGAAGTCAACCACTCCTTTAAACATGGTGAAATCTGTGTGGGAAAATTGTTCACCTTTGCTCGAAACTCCTATTGAAATTACTCGATTTTGTGGCAAAAATTGCTGAAAAACTGTAAATGTGACAGCAGCTTTACTCACTGAAGGGCAAATCATTACGTTCACCATGTCCAACTCAAAGACCAATGTTATAATTAATTTATGGTTCCATGAGCAGGGCTCTAGACTCATTCTTCCCACTGGTTGCTCTTTTGCGACTAACTTTCTCAGTTGGTCGCACAGGCACATGATTTGGTCGCAATATTTATTTTTATTATTTATAAATTTTCTTGCGCTACAACATGGGATTAATCAATGCATGCTCATGAACTTTTATCATAGTTTATAGTTACATGGAAACGAAAGTGGTTAACATTCAACCCATTCTTTTTCATCAGTAGTATTATTTCAGATTTGATTTTTTTTGTGAATGGGAGTTCCTCTTTTGTTATGTTATAAGCCGGGCTTAATGCACTTTCACTTTCAAATTCACGATCTTGTTGTCACTAGTGGTGCAACGGATCACAAAACTCACGGTTCGGATCATATTATGGATTTTGAGTCACGGATTGGATCATTTTTCAGATCGGCCAAAAAAACAAAGTGAAAGCGTAGTTTAAGTACTAATATACCACAGCAAAACTACTAGCTTTAATAAAGTTAGTAATAAAACAAGAACAATTACACAAATTACAAGCATAGATGAATACAACAAACGGTTACAAATAAAGTCAGTAACGGTAGCATTCAGGTGCAGAAATGTAATCATTAAGTGTAAAATAACACAATCGTGCTCACTAGGGCTGTGTATCACCAGCAAAGTCACGATACGATACGTATCACGATACAGAGGCCACGATACGTATCACGATACATGACTGCACTGAATTTCACCTCAGAAGAATTTAGAAAAACAGCTGTTTATTAAACACTGTTTACTATAGTGCCATTTCTAACTACTGGCAGAGCAGGCAGTTGACCTCTGCATTATGAAGGGCCTCCATAATTGTACCACAGTACAATATAGGTAATTACATATGTTTCATGTTTACATTGTGCACTCCCAACCAGGTACAATATTCTGATTGTTTGCATCTTGTTTTTAAGCCCATAAATAATAATGCACTTGTTCTAATAAATGTATATTTTAATGTACTCATTCTAATATATTAAAAAAAATTATTTACATTGCTGGTAGGTTATCATTGCACAAATTAACACACTCTCTACAATAAAAAAAAA